ACTTGCGCGTTCGCCACGTCGGATTCCCACAACCACTTGAACTGGCTAAAATCATCCTTGGCCACAAGGATCTAGCCACCATCCATGTAGAGAAAATCCCAATGAAGGATTTCATTAGGCTTTGTGGCATGCGCCGTTGCACCAAACGGGCGCAAAACATGACCACCCGTACTGGCACAATGCAAACAACGGCCCACAAAGTACGGCACGTCAGAGGCAATGTCGGACCACCAAACAAAGTACGACACGTCCGAGGCAATGTCGTACCACCAAATCGATCCACCAGGATCTGCTTCGTCGCGTTAATCCCACGGTGTCCTCACACACCAAAATGCGCGACCACACACAGCCGCACCTGCAGGTCACTGGCAGACGTCGGAATCCACACCGCTCCAGTGGCGGTCTTGAGCACCGGCACGTCGTTGTCGCCCACTTCCACCTGGTGTTCCACCAGGTCGGTGACAGGAAATTCTCTGTTTCCAACGGCTTGGACTTGAGCATCCACGATCTCGTCCATGGTTGGCCAAATGAATTCGACATTTCGCAACGGCGAAATCTGCAACGGCACGTGCACGATGGGGCATATAAGATATGAATTTGTTCCCCATCGGGACAACAAATCCGCCCACACGTTGACATCACCAGAGATGTCATAAATGGTGTAATCATACCCCATGAGTAGTAGCGCCCAGCGATCGAGTTTTGCTGCCGTGTCTTCGGGATTGCGGCGTTCACACTGGCCGGGTTGAAAATGAACTTGAGGTTTGCGTGGTCAGTGAACAACGCAAATCCACCGGGCTTGTGGAGCAGGTAGTCTGCACGCTTCAGACACTCCACGATCGAGAACGCCTCCTTCTCGACGATTGCCCATCACCGCGCCAGAATATGTGCCGCTCAGAAACATCAGCGACTCATGGCCTTGCGCGTCCAATTCACGATCCACCTGATCGTGAGGAATTTGAGTCCTACGCCACCCCAACGCAAATCGCTGGCGTCGGCGAACACACAAATAAGCCGCTCCGGCTTTGGATGGGCGAGGGCCACCACACGGCCCAGGGCATCCTTGCAACTTGTGAGGCACGCTACATGCTCAGCGTTCCATTCCACGTCGGCCAACACAACTTTGGCCACCTTCTGTCGAGTGCGTCCACCAGCCGCCTTGTACACCGACTCCAGCAGATCGGTAATCGGCTGTACAATGACATTGTACTTCGGGATCGACATGCGCATCCAATTCATGGCGCATATGAATTGCTGCAGATCTTGCCCGGTCACCGGCATCTTCAGATCTTGCAACGCCTTGATGCGTTCCGGGTCGTGCTTGACTCCTTCGGACGACAAAATTCGACCACACCAGCGCGCTTCGGTTTCAAAGAACCGACACTTCTTCGGGTTCAGCTTAAGTCCGCGCGACTCACAGATGGCCAGGACGCGTTCGAGCGCGGCCAACAACCCCTCCTTGGACTTGTCGTAGCCCAACAAATCGTCCAACCAGATCAACAACGAGCGGTAGAGCTCGTCTTGGAACATTTCTTGAACCGACGATTGGCAGTACGCCACGCTGTCGGTACCCCCCATGAGCACGCGCGTCGGCGTGTACACGCCGTTGTCGGTCAGGAACGAAAACATTTTCTTGCGACGCTTCGTCCAGCGCAAACTGCCAATAACCCTTGAAAAAATTCGAGGGTAAAGAATACACTGGCACCTGCGAGGTGATCCAAAATCACCTCCATCATCGGCATCGGCCAAATGATGTGCTTCGCCTGTGCGTTCGGACGTCCACAGTCATGCTTCGGGCTTCTTGACGATTAATGGTGCCCAGCACCATTTTGACCGTGGATTGAGGTAACATAAACCCGCCGCCTGTAGCTCTTCAACGTGCTTAGCCACAAAGTCCCGCTGCTCCTTCGAATAGCGGCGCGCCTTGCACCGCACCGGTTCAGCGCCAGCCTTGAGCGTCACACGTAGCAGCGCCACGTCCACCGGGTGATCTCGGCCCAACGAAAGCCGAAACACGTCTTTGTAGCGCAATAACAGCGCCCACAGCGCCGCAGCGAAATCCTCACCGCATCTCGCGGCACGACATTCGCTGACCTTGTCCTTCAGCTTCGCGCGCACCACAGCTTGGTCGTTTTCTTTCGACCAATCAGGAGTCACTTGAGGAAAACACGCTTGTTCTTCCTCAGGATACAGCGACGCTTCTTCAGGCGATGATGGTAGTTTTTCCATCGCTTCGACCACCTTCATGGCGGCCATTAGCGGCGTATCCTTGCTGCCCAACTGCTCCAGGTCGTACATGCTTTGCTCTCGCCGCGCATCTCAGCAGCAACGAACGGGGACAATACCCGAGCTTAGCCATCACGTCGCGACTCACGATTAGGTCGCCCAGGGCGTCTTGTAGTGGCGCCGCCGCCACCCAACACTTGAGGTTCGCGATCACCAGCGTCCCCTCGGTCGTTTCAAAGGTCAGACGGAACTTGACGTCGCGGTCCACATCGAGCTTCATGCCCTCGATGAACCCGCCCAATTCCATCGCGTCGTCCAACTGTCGCACCGGCGACGTAAAATTGCCCGTTTCTTCCAGACGTGATAGAAACGTCGGCGACAACACACATTGGTCAGCACCACTGTCGAGTAGTGTCGTCGCCTTGAGGCCATTGATGTCGCAATCCAAGGTGCGATGAGCGCGCGCTTCGACCACCTCGTTCGCAGCCACAGCTGCACCAATAAACTTGGTCTTCTTGTCCGGCGCGGCCACAGCAGCGACATGCGGTTTCTTGAACCGCTGGTCCAGGAGTCGCTGTGCTTCTCCGACTTCAACACCTTGTGGTCTTCACCACCACACTTTAAACATCCCCTCACATACGGGGCGCAAGCGGCCATCGCCGGGGCTCTGGCTGGCGCCGCTGTCCGCTTTCTTCGGTGGTAATTGGCGCCGCGGTTTTTCGCCATATTACCGCGGCCGATTCGGCTCCGGCTTTGGATCCATCGCAACTAATTGCGACATGAACAACATGAAGTTGTCCATCAGGGACACTAACCAGCGGCAGAACGACTTGACGTCGGACTTATACGCCTTGTTAGCTTCTAGCGTCAACTGTCACTCGACAGTTGCCTTCAACTGCGACGGTCGAATCGCCGCCGTGAGGATCTTGACCGACTGCTTCGGTTCCTGCTCCGGCAAGTGCGCCACATCCAGTTGCTCCAACTTGTCGTAGAAATCGGCTAGCAGCCGACTGACTCGAGACTCGGCGTCACGGATCATCGTGTCCATCTTGAGCGACGCCATCGCTTTCGCAACCGAGTCCAGGTCCAACTCTTGGACCTCACGCGCCGATAAAAAGTAATTGCGCCAGTCGTTTTCGGTAATTTCTTCAAACGACCTCGTAAGCATCGCTCTTCTGGGATAGGAACTTGACCCACACGTAGTTGGTGGCGCCTTCGGGGTTTCGGGTGATGAAGTACTTGGCGCCGTTAGGCGAGGCGATCTTGGCTGGGATCGAGCCGTGATGGATAACTTGTTCTTGTTCCTTAGCTGCCAGTGGTCTGTCTGTCTCTCTTGAAGACCAGCGAGGCGTCGCCTGATTGGCGGTTGATGCGGCTGATGGACATGAGCGACTTCTTGAGGGTCGGTACGTAAAGGACATTCTTGAAGTTGGCCGTACGTCCTGTTTCTTCTGACTTGATCTTTAGGTCGCCCATGGCGGTCACTGGGATAGGATGGCCGTCGGCTAGGCGGACGCCGCGGGTGCAGGCCACGACAGAATGCAGCAAGTCGATGTCGACAGTCATGTGCGCAGTGGCGCCGCTGTCAATGATGGCTTCGCGATTGTACGTCGACATTGCAGCATTTCACTCGTCGGTTTCGTCTGTCGCATATTGATTCAGCTCCATGGAGACAGTGCCGGTTTCGAAGTCGACAGCCGGGTCTTTGTCTGTCAGCCACCATGAGTCTTCGTCATTCGGACGACTGGACACAGGTATGTCTTCTTCCATCATGAAGAGGACTTCCATTTCATCTTCTTCGGCGTAGTTGCCTTGGTCGGTGCCGCGCCAGCTTGTGCGGCCTCCGCCGCGGCCATTGCTAAAGCTGCGTCCACGTCCGCGCCCACTGAAGCGCCCCCCGCCTGGGGCGCCGACATAACCGCCTCGTCCGCCGCTATTGCCGTGCGGCTTGTCCTGGACGCTGTGCCGTTGAACGCCTTTGGCTTCGTCGGTTTGTCTGCGGCGGCATTCTCTGCTGAAGTGGCCAAGTTTATGGCATTAGTGAAATTCGCCATTGGCCGTGGCGTTGAGCGCGTCGTCTGATCTGTCCGCGTTCTTGCGTAGACTAGGGTTGCTGAACTTCTGTCGTTCATCGTCTAATTTTAGTTCTTCTAGGACGGACTACATGGTAGCGAACTTGGTTGTGTCGCGGCTCTCGCGTGTGATGTAGCTCACGGTGTTTGCAAAGCGTGGCGGCAGCAGACAAAGGAACCGGATGACGTGCGACCGTTCTGGGATGCCGTCGCCGGCGGCGGTGATCTTGCGTGTGAGCTCTTGGAATTGGTCGGCAAAGGACTCGAGGTCGATCTGTTCGCTCCAGTCGAGCTTGTACATCTTCATTTGCAACGTGACCAGGCTGACTTCTGACGTGTTCTCATAGATCGCCTTGAGCTCGTTCCACGTGTCGCACGTCGTGACTACGTGTTGGATGTATTTCAGATGGTCGTTGTGGACGGACAGCTGGATGTACGACAGCGCCACGAGGCCGTCCACCTCGTCCGTGTCTGGCTTGTACTTGGCGTCCGGGCCGCGGCACGGCTGCAGGTACTTGCCCAGCGTGTGCTGGTTGATCTTAGCTCGCGTTTTGACGCATCATTCGCGATAGTTGGAGCCGTCAGCCTTTAGCTTGTTGGGTTTCTCGTATAGATAACGTTCTGTCATTGGGCTCACAACCTATGGACTTTGCTTGCAGGCCTTGGTCGTCGTATGCCGCCATAGGGGCGAAAGAGTTGGAGGAAGTAGGGGTTTACAAGTGAGTCATAAAGGGTTAAGCTAGCTAGGAGTCTGGCAACCAGTGATTCGATAGCCGCAGCTGGGTAAACTAATATGCAGTCCTGGATACAATGTAACTACATTGTACTTTCTGCTAATGGGACTTGATTGGCCGTTGAGTGTCGTGCGGTCGTAATGTCTCGTCCCGATGCGCCTTTAGTAATGCGCCTATCGACAGAAACCGCAATAGTCTACGCCGGCCACAAACGCAAATCGACCGGGAATGTTCATTTCTGGAAGTATCCATTCTGCGCCGAGAAATCGAGAAGCACATGCAGACGCAGCATGTGGACGACTACCCCGGGCTCCTCAAGATGTCGGCAAGCGAAATGACGGCGTTCTGGGCGTCGTAGACCACTCGTTTTCAAACGCTCCACAACCAGTGGGATTTTCCAATGACACGATAACGTTCAAGATGTCGGCCAGCGTCACCAACGGCATCATCGGCGAGCTCATGTTCAAGAAGGAGGACGAGCAGACCGCCACGGATCAAGAAGAGGACGACGACGTGGACGACGCAGTAGTCCAGGCCGAGATGCTGGCCGCCAGGGCCGCCAATTCCAAGCGCCAAGCCATGGATCGAGCAGGAGGACGGGTCGTACATCGCCACGATTAAAACGCCGATGAAGTTCGAGCTATCGATCGGACCCCGATGGCATGTCGTTTCGGCAGACGGCAGAGGCCGTCGGCATGACGCATCGGACCTGCAATATCGCCAAGCTTGCCGGTGTCAACGACACCATCGTCGGTCAGTGGGTCCGCATTCATAGGAGCCTCCATGCAACAGATCGATGAGGACGAAAGTAAGGATGTCCATGAAGACGTCGATGAAGACGACGAAGAAAACGACGGTGGTTGCAAGGGTGCCAAAGTCCAGGGACGTGACAGTTGCGATGTCTACCGTTGAAGCGAAATCCTCAGTAGTCTCCGCAAACCCAATGCGTTCTACGGCTAGGTAATTTATGGTCATACTATACGAGACAGAATCGTCAAGATCAGAGAAGATTCCGTGGAAACATATAAATTTACAGACATACACGATTTACGAATCAAATACGAAACAGATTCAATGCAGTCACGAAACATTTTGTTTCGTAAAACGGAAGTATCGATTTTCTCTTATGCTGGTTTTTGTATGCTGCTTCAAGTATAACATTTGCGAAACACTGGATTAACAGTTCGCGACACCATCGAACTTCTATTTTTGCATAACTCGGCCAAATCAAATAGAAACCGTATGATGGTTGCACCTTTGGATGTTGATATCTGGATAAGAATCGGACTAATCAATCAAAATGTGATAAACTATCGTTGCATTCGCGATAAGCACGGAAAAGGTCAAGAATGCACGTCATTTTTCACTGTATAAGCAAATAGTCTTGCTTACTGTTAAACACGATGTCACTAACTAGGGAGAGTTAATTTGGAAATCTGATCTGCTTTTCGTTTGAAAGTTCGATTTTCGTTTCCACGAAACCAAAAGTACCTCGCGAGGTACTTTTGGTATTTCAAAAGCAAAAGCAAGTTGAACTTGGATAACTGAACATCCAATCAAATTGCTCGAAACAACTGGCACACATATCGCTCACTTACGATGGAGCTCGAGTGTGACGACCGTGCGAAGTGAGGCACGTCGCGTGCTGGGCGCCATGCCATGCTTGAGTTCTTACGCATTCCGCACAACTTTGCGTTGATGACTGGCCAGGCCAGCAAAGGAAAGTCGGTGAAAGGTGGGCAGAGACTCACGAAAGCCCACGGCCATGCCCTGATGGCCGAATACGTGAACATGATCGTTCGCGACAGCAAGCGAACGTGGACAACGCAGGACGCAAAGTCCAGGTACTCGAATAGATCAAAGTCATCATTGTCACACACACTATAGATACGATGCGTACGTCTCATCGTACAGGAAAGCACTTCGTTGGTGCGGTCCGAACTACAGCGGTCGAGGTCTTACTCAGAAGGACTACAAACGAAGTAGAACATAATTTGAAGATGAATCTCACTCATTCTGTAGAAATCTTTACGATTGAGAGCAAGTTGGAGAGTATTTGTCCGTACTACAACGACATGAATGCGCATTTTGGCGAGCGCCAGAACTTTCGACCATCCTTTGCGTTAGAAACGAACAATGACTACGGTAAATTACTTGAATATTTTAGCAGTGAAATACATAATTAAATTACGATTTAATGTAGTTGACGAGCCTGGTGATTTTGATGAGTCCTTTGTGTACAGGTAGGAGGGCCAGGCTGGACCAACGTCCTTTCAAGCCCGTTCCCATGCTCGCAAACGACGAGAAGACTCGCGTGACCGGTGTTGAAGATATCGTTTCCAACTCCACGCGCGGAGGGCAAGCGGTAAGGGGTGAGAATGTGGTGGCTGAGGGGAAAGTCAGAGTCGCCGGCTTGGTACTGGTCCGGGTCGAAGTAGGACAGAGGTTGCAGTGGAGGTGCAGCGGAAGCCCAAACAGTTGAATCGTGGACGCTGCCAGGCCAGCCCGCAAGCGCATGCCGAATTTGTCGGCAGTTATCGAAAGTCAAAAGAACATTCATGGAATATTCCTTTTTTCGACTGTAATATACCTCTCCATGCAAAGCAGGTTTTCGGTATAAAACAACATGAGTGCCATCAGTAGACAAAATGCAGTTACGAAATCCAAAACGCTCTGCATTCGACTTGGCAAGTATGCGTCGTTCGTAGGAATTCGGCCACGTAATTTCCGATTCAGATAATGAGATCAGGGAACATATAGTACGTCTCGTATAAAGATGAACTGTCCCATTCCCAATTTCGTTCGACCATACCAACAGACGCACCAGCCCCATTGTGACCAAGACGATGCAGACAAGCTGTACCCATACTGGCCGTTGAACACGATTCGTAGTTGGTTGTAACACAGAATCTTATTTCGATTTTCAGAATCCTTGAAAATCAAAAGCAGTCCAAAAATTCCCAAATTGGCTCTCCCTACTACTGTAAATGCTTGAATCACCTTTTTGTATCAAATATACCTCTATAAATGCATCCGTATAAAAAATAGTTGCTCAATGGTGTCGTGAACTGTAGTATACTCAGCGGGAGTTGAAGGATTTTGAAACGCACAAATCAACGTCAAGCGTAAGAATACAACATTGCCTGAACTACTGGGAGATGCGGGAACTGGAGAGAAAAACTCATCATAACACGAAGTTATGGACGCCAAAATCGAGGCATTCATGGTTGGCGAAGCAATATCTAGACTTTCTTCGCAGTCATCCAACTTGTTGGAGAGTGACATTGGCTGCTGAACTGACACACTTTCTATCGCTCTCTTCAAGTGTGGTGCTTGCATTCAGAAACTTCGCGCCATTTCGCAATGAAAACTGAGCAGTTCTGGATATTTCCTTACTTTTGCGGATGATATATTTGTATTGCACATGTGTATGTTGTGTATTGTAATTGGAATTTGCACGACCGCCATCGTACAGATACTGATTGGTCAAAATATTAAATTCCTTGGATATGATTGGCCAATTGATTTCATGTGAGCGTCGACCAAGACATTGCCCAGAGAGCCTCGCCATGCTTACGAGTGCCAAGTCAAGGTGCATATCGCGGCCAGTACACCTAAGTGTATGTATATATGTAGAGTCATGTATCGAACGAAGTCGATACCGCATATTTCTTCTGCGCTTACAATAGAGCCTCCATTCTACGAATCATTACGGCACTACAGTATACTGAGTTTCTGTCTTTCGCACAAGGCTGCTTGCTTTCACGTAAAAGATGTAATCTTGCTCAAACTCCTACCGGTACAGTTTGCTCACACTTGTGTGGCCATATATCGGTAAATTAACGTTAGCGTGCATTGCGAGCTGCACGGTAAATGTCCACGATAGTGTTGTCGAACGAGTTTTCAACATCCACCTTTTATGTAGTAAGTATGTCACGAGTGTTGAGAGCATTCAGTTGTAGAGTCAGCCTTCAAATCGAGTTATCGTTCACGACAACCAAGTGAGGAAGGAACGGAGGATAAAGAG